AGCTGAAGACGTGTATCGTGGATATGGATGCCAAGTTTCTCATCTAATTTTTTTTTTTACACATCAATATTTTTTCCAATACTTCTTACTAAAGATAGCCTCCCCCCCGTCATCCAACTGTCATCTGGGCATCCCATGGTGGCGACCAATAGCAGTACACCGTCTTGCACCCGGCACAGCCTTCAACCCCCGTCATCGGACCAATTGGCGTCTAGCAAGTGAGACAAGGCAAACCTAAATTGCCATGCGTTTGTTGGAAAGCCCATGTGTCACCTTGTCAACGGTTCCAGATGTCTCGGTGCCACATGTTGTGTATGTATGTCACTGTCAGAGAAATTACCGATTCTATTCCAACGACAAAATGTGTCGTGTTTAATGCCATTCTGTGTGATATGCTAATCCGGGCGACTTTCATCTTTTATTTTTGTGAATCCCGTCCTGTCCCTCGCCTCCGCCAATTCCGTTCCAGTGAAAAGATGTGAGGAAAAGAAGAAGTAGTAGAAGAAGAGGTAGTAGTAGTAAATGAAAAAAAAAAAAGAAAACAGAAAAAGGGCAGTCTAAGCAATCAACGCCTGATGGGTCAAATCTCAACGCCACCTGTTGTCAACAGCCCTGAAAGTCCCTGGCATGCCCTGGTGGTCCGGTCACACACCACGCAGCCCTAGAAATCAACCCAAGTTTCCATCCGTTCCGTCCATTCCGTCCCAAATTCCGTCCCATGTGTTTCCGTTTTGCAAGCAGAGCCCATTATTCTGCTGCAGTAATCCCGCCGTGACGCAATTTGTTTGTTTCCACCCCGCCCTGAACAGCCCAAAAAAAGAACAAGGCATACCTTATTTACCATGCCTAAAGCTCATGATAAAAGGAACCAAACCCAAGATCCCATGAAACATGTCATTTCTCGTAGCTCGCGTAAAATCAAATCCCGACTGGACAAGCAAGCCAGGGGAAATGGTCCTTTTTTTTTTTTTTTTGGAATAATAATATATATAAAAAAAAAGGCCGCCCAAAAAAAAAAAAAAAAAAAAAAAAAAAAAAAGAAGCAAAATATATATAGAAGTGGAGGTTTCATGACTTCATTACTCAGAGGTGTTGCTGAATCGCATCGAGTGTGGCTGGTCGTGGTTATGTTGCATGCCAGAGTCCTCGTGCTTTTCGGAGGCGACCCTGATGGGATTGTAGGAAGTGCTGGAATCGTAGGCAGCGTATCCACGCTTTTCCCACGCCGAATCCTGCTCGGTCCGCGTCTGCGTCTGTCGTCCCTTCTGACGGACGTTGTAGCGGATGAGCGAGCTAGCACCAGGAGGAGTCGTCAATACCTTTGATGGTCGTGGCGCCGGCGCGAGCCGCTGCGCATCATTTGCATCGCCGTCAGCTCGACTGCCCCAAGACGTCTAAAAAAAATTGAATGTTAGTTTTGTCCATGTTTCTTCTCTTCCAAGACAAAGCAGGTACTAACCATGTTAAGAGTAAAGAGGGCATAGAGCTTAATCAGCCCGTGGAAGTATCCAAAGACAATGGAGACAGGAACAAAGACGACGTCGCTGGGGTTTCGCAACAAAAGTCCCATGAGCTTGACGAACTTGGTGAAGGCGAACATGAAGATGAACTGGGCCCAAAAGGCATAGTGTCGGTATTGCAGATTCCACTCGGCCGTCGCCCACCAGCACGAGGCAAGCAAAAGCGGGTCGACAATGAAGGCGATGGAGGTAAAGGTCGCGAAGTGGAGGGCGTATGTGCACCAGGGCTGTTGTCTATGTCCAGGTCATTTTCGTTAGTACGCTCGCGCTATTTTAGCTATTTTAGACGGCTCAAAGGCCCAACTCACCTCCACACGTGCCGCTCCTTGACCAGACTGGTCCAGTTGCTTCGCCAGTTGCTACGCGCCCAGCGGGAGCACTGATAGAGGAACTTGGGGCCGTTCTCCAGAGTCGTTTCAATCTCGCATTCGCGCTCGTACTGGATCCAGGTCTTCCACTGATGGCTCACCAGCCATCGCGTGACAAAGTTGTCGTCGTCAGCATTGAGGATCCACTTTCTCCACTTCTCCGTCTTGAAGCCATCGAGGAAGTCGTGGCTCTTGAGGATGGAAGATCGGTACGCTCCCGTGCGGCCGGACATGCAAGATGTGCCGCCATCGATGTTGTGCGTGGCTGAGATCTCAAAGTTGCGGCGCTCAATGTATGCGGCGCCGAGCCAGTTCCAGATGCGCACCGACCAGGGAGCTGTCCACTCACGCTTGACTCGCTGACATGTGCCAACGCCGCCCATCTTGGGGTCCTCGAAGGGGGCCAGGATCCATGGCATCAGCGTCGACGGCCACGACACATCGTCGTCGGCCATGATGGTGATGGGTGTGCTGACGCTGGGCAGAGCCTCGCAGACCTGGAGGCGCTTGTTGGCAATGGGCGTGTGCATGACACGGACCTTGGGGTAGTTGAGAGACCTGGCCAGCTCGTCGAGCGCCCTGCGCTTGTCATGGGTTGTGACAAGAATCAGCTCAGCAGGCTTGCAGGCCAGGATGCTCTGCAGTGACGGGCGCAGCTCCTCAAACACATTATGAATGGTAGGAATGATGACCGTGACGTCGTCGTTGGTAAATGTTGGCTTGTTGGGGATCGGCTTCGACTTGTAGGTCCAATGGCTGACACAGTGGACGAGCAGCCGGACATAGCGATGCAGCCTATAGCGTAACAAGCATTAGCTTTTGGTAAACTCAATTGAAGAGAACGAGGGATAAAGGACAGCTAGGAAAAAGCCAACTAACCAGAGGATCCAAAAGATATATGCCCAGAAGGTTGGCGATTGCCAAAGATCGGACTCGACTCTAGGCAATCTGAAGGTGACCAGGGGCGCCAGTTTGGCTGGCAGCTCGCTAAGAAACCTGTCCATGATGTGGGGCGGCCAGGGTTGCTGGGATAAGATTTCTCTTGTCGCGTATACCAGGGATCTTTATGCTTTCATGGGGAGCTCGCTCGCTGCTTGGCTTCTCCAGCTGGGAAGAGAAGAGGACAAGGTGCTGAGGAGAGAGAAGAGAGGAGAGATGGAGATTGCGCGACTAGGTAAGATAAGAGGAGAGAGGACGAGGCCTGTGTGGTTTTATACGGCACAGGGCAGGGATTTCCGTCTCCCGTTTCTCACTCAATCTGCAATCAATTGGAGAGGACCAAGAGCAACGAGAAGAAGAGAGGCACGCTGTAGGCTGTCTCCAACTTGCAAAGGCCCCCGGATTCTCGATTCTGCCAGCTGCCACCGCGCGTGAGGCGAATTCCTGTTGCCAAGTGACAAGCGAATGTTCTAACCCAAACGGGGGGGCTTCCAAAAGACCAGGCAGAAGAGAAGCCAATTGCTGAGGTCCAGACCGCCAATGCGTTGCAAAAGAAGGAGGAAAGAGGCAAACAATATATGTACAGGTTCCCCCTTTGCAAGGCGAGGCTTGGTGGGGAGCAGGAAGGAGGCCGGGCGAGTCAAGATGTCAAAGGTCAAGGACGAGGAGGGCCACGAGCACCGGGAGAAAAAGCGAAAAAAAAAACACCAAGTATAACGAACGGGGAAGAGAAGCTGAGGGGCTCTAGGAGACAGACTATTGCATTGCAGAGTCCGAGCAGCCTGAATAGCCTCTGGGGAGGAGATATTAATTAGGGGAGGAGAGGAGGAAGAGGTCGTGAGGGAGAAGAGCAGCATGGCAGCCACGTTGATCGACTCGACGGCAGTTATATACCAAAAAGGCCCATACGATACTAGAGTACCTTGCAAGACCTTACGATACGACGAGTGGTGTAGACTAACCGGCCCGGCGCCATCAAGCATGCTTCCGATATGACCTAGGCCAATGCCATGCATGAGCACGGAGACGGAGAGGGTCTGCTAGCTAGCACGTCGAGGCCAGATGCATGCCATGTACCTACACAAGTACAGGACTGTAGCACAAGAGATGAGGAGGATGTACGAGTTAAGGTAAGGCAGGGTATTATTGGCAGCGTGCAGGGGCCACGTAGGGTAGCATTTGCCCAAGTGAATCTGGATGGCGCCAAAAGGTGGGTGGATGGCTGGCAATGGACTGGCCTGTGGTGCGTAGTGCAGCGTTACTGTATAGCACATTACATTAGTTTAGCGGAGGAGATGGGCGGCGGGGGTACCTGTAGGGTTCAATTGGGCGCTGTAATTTGTACAGCCCAGGTATAGGTATTCATGGCAGACAGACGGAGGGGGAGGGGGGGAGTGCGCTTGTCCGGGGGCGGCATGGACACGGAGCGCCAGCGTTGAGGATTTTGGGGGAGGGGTGCGACTATTGGGGCAATTCACGGCCATGTTGCAGCTTGTACCGCGTTGCTTTGGGGCTAGCGGCTGGGCAGAGTTGGAGTTGAGACTCGGGCTTCATTTTACTCAATTTCACAAAAATACTACGAGTAACTTTGGCACTCCACAATGCCCGACCGGCGGCGGGGGCCTTTTTCGTTGTTGTCTGATGATGGACTTTTGGACATTTGACTGATAGATACCTACCTTGCCTGGTAATACCTAAGGGCAAGGACAGGTCAGGTACCTACATACCGCCGTCAAGTACGACAAGTTGCCGCAGTGCTACAGTAGCAGTACCGTACTCGTACAGTGTTGTCCAGGTACCAGCACAGCAACTACCGATACAGGGAGGCAAAAGCAAGTTTGAACCCATCAATGGAGCGCTTGAGTGAAAATGATCGTGCAATTTTGATCCTCGCCCGCACCGGCGCGCTAAACGGGGACCCGTCGTCTATTGTGCAGATAATTGTACATACATACTACATACATTGATTCCTACGACCACTTACCTTAGTACTACTGCTGCTAGCGACTTTGCTTCGCATGTACGAGTCTGCTCGCCTAGCCGTTAGCGAAGAGGGGGATTCTGGACGATGCTAGCACATGTGCCCTTGGTGGCGTGAGCTTTTTTTGGCATTCGATACTCGGACACGTCTGGTCCTTTATTGGAGTCTCCATGTCCTTTTGGCGCGGTCAGCTGTGACTCTTTTGAGGGCCGGACAGTTTGGGTGCTGGTGGATATTGTGTGCTCTCTTCCAATTTTTTTTTCGCCTTCAGCACGCGAGTTGGCCACTCACAGCCGCCATTGCCTTTTGCCCAGCGAGCTCGAGAACCGTCGATGGGATGGGATGGGGCCGGGGGGGTCCTTGGCCAAGCGAGCGTTTGCGAGCAGTCAAATCGTCGTGGGGCGATGCGCCAGGGAAGCTAGCAAATGCGGGAGGCGAGGACAAGGGCAGCAAACAACAGCGATTTTCGAGATTAATTGGAGATTGCAATAACGGATAAACTGGGCGGGCAGGGTTCGGCGTCAAAAGTCGAGTTAAGTCCAAGCCTGGTATGGAGCGGCACCCGAAAGTACTGTACTCGTACTTGTCTCTTTGTCTTTGTTCTCTTTGGTCATTCATTGGTGGGTTGCTCTGCGTCTATGTCTACAGGATGCTGCGCTGCGCTGCGTTGTGTGTTGTTGCCATGCTGTGTGTTGTGGTGTTGCGCCGCGTTGCGTTGCGTTGCCCTGCTTCTGCTTGCTTGCCTGCTTGTCTACTTGCCAGATGCACTCTGCGCTGCAACTTTGTTATCGTCGAGCCAAACCGCGCTCAACGCAAGTAATTGCCCTATGTGTATGCGTGGCCGCGAACCAAAGTGTTGGGGGTGCAAGCGAGAGCGAGAGCTAGAGATAAAGAGAAAGAGACAAGAGAAAGTGTGTGTGTGTGTGGACGAGCGAGGCATCGCGATTCGCAGCAAAAGACGAGCCGAGTTGGTGTTGAGATCCACGATGCCAATGCAAGCTGCGACTCGTTCGGATAGGCAGCTGGCTAAGCACGAAAGCCGCCTACCTACCATACATAGAGCGATACTAGCAAACAAGCATAGGGATTGCAACCTTGAGGCTACGGACTGGCCCCTCATCACGCAATCTACCTATACCTACTGTACATGTACTCGTACAGTACTCTACTGACCTCAACTTTACTAGGTAGTCGTCCGTTCTATTAACCCGGCCGGCTGCCTCCTACTGTACGCTGGATCTTACCTCCAGGACGGACGGTGGGTAGGACGTCGGCCTCTCCATGCAGTGTGCGTACTCGTACTACTCTGGATGCAGCAAGAGGACGAAAATACCTACATCAACGGAACTTGCCAGTGTGTGCCCGGAACCCTTGCTGTTGACGTGCCGGCTCACTTGGGAGATGCCTTGCATGGCAATTCCGACGTCTCACACACCGTCTAGAAGCAAGTTTGAGGGCCAAGGAAGAAACAAGACTTTTGCCGTTGCTCTGTCTGGCGTTTAAATGCAGGTACTGTGGGCGTTATCGCGCCTTGTCGCATCTGCTCCGCCCAATAGGGACCATGTCGCCCGGCATCCATGTCATCTCGAACGCAAGATGAGATTACTTGTATCAACTTCCATGGCTACCTATGTACCTTGGCAATTTGCCTGCCGTCCCCTTCGTGCGAGCATGTACGGAGTATGTACACGTGGTTTGAGCCAGACCGTCTCTCTCGACATGGTGATGGCCTGAGGGGATTGATGACTTGTCCAGACATGAACCGTGTGCCTGGCTATTTTGGAATCGGCTGACGGGTAGTCCGCGCCACGGACGACGGCGGTAGATCATGGCGGCCAACGGACCCGGTCTCAGCGACTAACATGGCATCGCACGACAGTCGTATATGTACGGGGAGTCGAGGTGAGGCCCTGTGGTGCAACACCTCACTTTGACAGCCGCCTCTGATAAGGCAGAGAGCAGACACAGTGGACCTGATGTGGGATTGGCATATGTAGGCGCTGCCATTTCCGGCCTGGGAGTCGCCATGAGCACGACCAACAGCGTACATAGTATCCGCCGTTGCAGAAAACAGACGGTGATGCATTTTCGTCTCATTTTTTCCCACTGTGTTTGCTGGCAAAAGTGAGAAAAAGCGGCGGGACAAAGTTCGGGGTCCCCCCAACGGCTTCCACGATGCAAGCACCACGGCTGAGAGAAAGGGGGATCCGGGCCAACGAGATGCAGGCCGTGGACCCTTTCTGCAGCGGTCCTAGCAGAATCCTGGCCTCGTCGACTCCACGACTGCCAGAATCCCAGAAGCTGCTTCTGGCGGCGCGTCTGCCGATACGACAGAGGCAGTCGACGATGGAGAAGACGCACACGCACACGCACAGACACAGGATGCATCAACCTGGACAAGGCCTAGGCGACAAGCCTCCCCTTACCCGGTGCCTACAGCTCCCTGGACACTTGCATGGATAATTCAAGCAGTGCAGCTCAAAAAGCACCGAGACCTTCCAGAATCCGCGACATCTCGCAGCGAAAAAGGGTCTATTTCGGGGCCTCTCGGTCTAAGCGGTATGGACAGCCTGGGGGGGGGGCCTGAGGGGCCTGAGGGGGAGCATCGACGAGGTCCCGGCCGTTGAAACCTTGGAAGTGTGAATCCCTCGAGGTACATGTCGCTGCGTGCCGTGCCGTGTGCGACGAGTACCTCCCCGGTAGTTGGTGTAGCATCATATAAAGACGACTCGACGGCCTCTCTGCCACGACGATACCTGCCCGGTACCTGCGAATGCCGAATCAAGGTGGACAAAGGCGTACCTGTAAGCGAGCGCAGCGGAATCTCAGGGTCCTTCTCGTCTATCGTGTCTGTAGCATTGTTCCGATGCTGCTGTCTCGCTTTTCCCCTGCCTGCGTCGCGTGGCCTGGCTGGCCCTGGACGATGGCTATTTTTTCCTACTACAAGTATTTTCATCGGCCCATTCAACAGTCTTACCCTGGCGTTTAGGACCGAGGTAGTAGTGTTGACCTATCAATGTCCAATTGCTACACTTACAGTACCTTACTTTGGTGCAAGGTAGGTCCATGTACTGTATAGTTGAATTGCAGCCACAAACAAGTTCGGTGACAAAAGTGCATCCTGCTCAATGCTCTGTACACAACATCGAGCCGTTCAGCTTCGGAGGAGACCGACGCGGCCTCGCTCTTTACAGCTCCGTGCATGCTCCTGTATGTATCCGTCAGAGAGCGGCCAAGTACCAAGCCAGCGAGACGACTTCAAGTCGGAGCAAGGATTCAAGATGGTGGAGGAGGTGTACAAGCACGGGCTGCAGCACTTCCATTCGCGCGAGTACCTACCTATCCAGGCCGTGATAGTACGAGTACAGGTACAGCGACAGGCACAGGGAATACTACTACATGTACAAGTAAGCTCTCCATGTCGGCGGCGACTCCATCGCGCCCCTGCGCGGACAGCCACCGGTGCGTACACATACCCCGGAACTGCGCTCCATTGGGAAGCTTCACCTTGTGCGACAGGCACTATCCCGCGATGCCAACATGAACCTTGCCAGTGCAGCGCCGTGCCTCGGACTTGCGCAGAACAAGCCTGGCTCACGTATTATCGCGTGCTCGTGCTTGGACGGAAACACGAAGAACATGCCGGCTTATTCTCCGTGGTTTGTGCGGATGACGGCCGCGGGTTGCAAGATCAGCGTCTGTACAGCCAGAACCAAGGAACATCCGCTCGTTAGCTGCGTCGCTGGGCTTTCCAAAGTGCCTCTTGTTGAGCGTCTTGCCAGGCCCCTGGCCCGCCTGGACTCTCGCGATGCTTGCTGGCGCCAGGGGAACCAAGATTAAGAACTGCTTGGCTCTCTCCATCCACGCAGGTCAGCGGGGGGAGAAATGGTCCATTGGGGGCCGCTATGGAGCTGTCGATGATAGCCGCACGCTGAGCTGTTCTCTGCCAGGCACGGATTTTTTTGAACATGGGTCCTCCAATCAAGGCCATCCATATCACATCATGGATCTCAATGCTCGTGCCGCCTGCTGATGCCTTGGCCGTTGCCCCGACATTGATGGCGTTGACAGCTGTTACACCAAATGAATCAATGCATCAACATCTACAGAGTAGCACATGGATCCAACCTTGGTTACTAGATTTGAGCCTTCCAGGCCTTGGTCTGAAGCGCTGCCGCCATGTAGCACCGCTGCAGCAGCCCGTGAGTGGCTCTCAAGCCCTGTAGTCTCAGTGAGTCCCGCCGACCACTAACCGCCTTGAGCCGCCAAAATCCACAGTCCACTCCGTCTGTCTGATCTGTCAAATCTCGCCATCTCCTTCTCGCCGTCCTGTATTATCTCTCAGGCCAGGCGCGCAGCATCTTGCATTCGTCCAGCGTTAAGAAGCTGACCGCCATCCCTCGGGCGGCCTCGCCATGCCAGACATACTCGTGCCTGTACGGAGTACCGTACCTACGTTGACGGCGGCACAGCGACTGATCCGCGATCTGGCCCAAGGCAGTTGGTGCTGACATCCCAGGGCGCCAACGCTCACTTTACCCTCAATGCCATCCCGAGCTGCAGCAGCAACCCCCAAGGATTAGGGCAAAGGGGGCACCGGCTCATCGCCTTAGATCGCGGCCTCTCGCCAAATGCTGTGCTCGCCTCGCCTCGCCATCGTCTGGCAGTAGTGGTCGCTGCTATACAATGCATGGATGCATCTCGACGACCCGACTGGCGCGCTCTGGCTGCAAGTCAACCTGCAATTAGCGCTCCTCTCTATTCTGGGCTCTTCCTGCGCTGCTGCCGGGCTCCATTGTCTTGTCTTGTCTTGTCGTCGTCGTCGTCGTCGTCGTCGTCTTGAGCATGTCCACGTCCAAGACGACGTCCACGTCCGAGGCTCCATGGCGGGACACGATGCTCCGCACCACGATGATCTGCCTCCATATCTGATGGCTGGCGGCCCAGATACGGGGTAGCCTGGCGTGACGGGGCGGTCATCTTTGCTGTTGAGGCCGTCTCATTAGGCCAGCTCAAGCGTCGCGGAAGCACAGGCTCTTCTCCCCAAACCCTAGCCGTGACGCATGTCGACCATTTCGGCAGTTTTGTGTTTCCTCGATGGGGACCTCTTACTACATGAGTACTCGTATGGAGTCGCATTGCTCAGAGAAAGTCCAAGAAGGCGACTGCTAATGATGCGACTTTAGCCATCGCGGCACAAGTGGGCGACCAACGTGTCCAGGGGTCTGCCTTTTCAAACAGCCTCCCACGCTCATCAACACACACCCAGCCGCTGCTATACTACGAGCATGCTAGCACCACGGGGAAGAGGGATTTGTACATTTACTTGCAAGTGCTTCGAGGCCAAAGGGGTACGTCTACGACTATGTGCGTGCAAGAGCAGAGTCCATGCCATGCAATGCGCAGCCAACCGCATAACGGCTAATGAGCTCTTTTTTTTTTCATTAGCAAATCGGCTCTAGGGCCTTGTATGCCCGGCCACCACCTTGTCTGCCATGGCATAATTTTGGTCCCTTCACTCTGCAGGCGGCAAAACTCGTTGTGCATGCAACGCCATCGTTTAAGCAATCGCGAGTGACTGATAGCGGACCCCAGCCCGCCGTTTGGCCTGTGACTGGGCCGTTGCCAGTTCCACTGTGGAGGCGGCTTACAGTATTACCTGTACACAAAGGCATCATTCTTGTCTATGTGCAGAGTAATACCCGACTTGTACGAGCTTGGGATGGAGCAGTGCCAGCCGCCTACATGCTCGTACATGCGTACATAGCATCAAGAAGCACCTGGCACAATTTTACAGGCTCCTCACCCAGAGCCGGTGCCCACAATGGACGGTTCGGCCGGGATCTTTGTCCCATTCCGTCTCCATTCAGTTTCGCTCACTCTTGCGGGCGAGACGGACGAATCCCAGCGTCGATATGCTTCGTGCCTCTCCGCAACAATCTCGACGTGTGTGCGGCCAAAGGGGAAGCCGTCTCCGCGGACCAGCTGCACGCATAGTCACCATCACGATAATGCCGGTGGAGGGTGAGATAACGCCGGCAGCAGGGCCGCTCGTGGATCAAGCTAAGCTCTGCCATGATGCTCTTGTCCGCCGATTCACACAAGATAGAAGAGACGAAGCAAGGTTCTTGTTCATCAAGCTCGGAGGGTTCGTTGTTGCGGAAGGCGTCCGAAGCTTTCAAGACCGCAGCCGCCTTGCGATCCGGCCCGCTCCATCCGGGACGCGGGTGTCGTTTTTTAGCCTAGCCGCAACAAGTACACAATGCGAGTCGAGAGAAAAAACCATATGTTGCATGATTCTCAACGGGAAGTGTTGGTCGCGCGCCTGCGTGGCGTGACCGGAGGCCATCGGCCCCCTCCGCTTTCACATATCGGTCCAGCACGGGGCTCTTGTACGGAGCCCTACGAGGTCCGGGACTTGATGGCGTTTCGACTCGGTCGTTTCTCAGCCCAAAGCTCATTGATTTGGCTTTGTGGCATTAACAATATGAGAACACATGCTCGACCTTTGATTTCGCGCTAGAAAGATGCAAGACTCCTGGCCCACAACCAAATTTCCTGGCCGAAACAAGTCTGCAGGCACAGGCCCTTGAAACTTGAGTGAAAACTGCAACATGGGGTCAAGGCTGAGTGGCTGATATGCACGCTATCGACGAACCTTTTGTAGCAACAGACAAGTAGAGGACAAGCGGAATTCCTTGTCCATGACTCCTCTAGCTGATATCAGCTCACGCCATGCAGCTGACGACCGGGTATCCATGTGCGAAAATTTGTTGAGATCTATCTCGGCCTATCTAGCCTGCAAGTGTATTTTTATAGTATATGTTCCTGGTGATGAGATTGCTACCCTAGCCTTCCCTACGGCTTGATTTGCTATCGACGAGTATACTGCCAAACCATGTCTATAACTCGGGCTGAAGAGTAATATGAGTGTTTCGATTGTATGCCGTCAAACGAGTTTGTCGGAACACAGCCGTAACTTCACGTGTTAAACTCTGATTGCCTTTGAACTCATACAGGCAAGTTTGCGAGAGATTTCTACCAGCGTCTGGGGGTTATTTAGAACGTTATGAGGACACTCCTCATAACGTGGTAATCAGATCGTGGATTGAGTATGTGCTGCAATAGGGTAGGTGTGATGTTGAAGTGAGGCAAATGCTGAAGTACATGAACACTACAGCATGCGCATGCGTAAATGAACCATAAAAATACTAGGTACATTTCTTTATTGGTACATAAATGTATAATTATCGTGCGGAGTAATTGTTTTCTTCTCTCCCTGTAAAGTTCTTAATGTTCATTTTCTTGATGGCGTGCTTGTTGATATCCATCTCGGCTGAGCAAGATGCTGTAATATATATCTTATTATTCGCTATGGATACCCTGAACAACTTCATTTGAATATCGGTAGTCGAGAATTCTATGAAAAATGAGCTACATATTGGAGATCCTAGTCGGCAATGACTTCTGTCTATGGCCAGCGGAGTGCCGACTCGGATTGCTTCCAAGATGGAATGTAAAACTACAATCAACGACAGGATATTCATCTAGTTGGTATATGTTTGGGTAATTTAGCACTCATCCGTATACATTAAAGGTGTAAATAAGAATGAGGAGTATGATGGATTATTATATCATCCAGGACGAGCAGGTCCAGCGACGGGATTGTGATGCGAAATATTGATACGTGGATAATGTGGCTGTCAAATCATACACACGCTTTGCAATTATATGATCATGTGCGTATTACAATAGAAATGATGGATGTTCTTCTCACAGTGCTACTTGTCGGCATGTTAACGGAATCGTAACAAGTTGGGATCACTGTAAAGAAGGCAGCGCTGGTCTTGGCGATATATATTGCCGTCGAACTGGTCTTTGTTTACCCGCTGAGTAGGTACATGTCAGAGATTTTTGAGGATTCCGACTGTGGAAGTAAAAAATCAATCTTGTATGGGTATTTCGTGAGGAAAGAAAAAAAGATTTGCAAATTGAAACCCGGGATTGCGAACAAAAAAGTGCCCCCCAGTTTCATTGCTGATACTACCAAGAGATGAATTGAACCAAATAGGCTAAATACCAGTGTGTACGACATTTGTATTTAGAAGATGAGAGACTTTCAGTTTCATTAAATCGTTCGCTGTACTATACGAAGATGTGTTACTTGAATCGATGTTACGGTACTTTTCAGGTAGAAAGATTAAGCGATTGGATGTTGTGTAAACGAACACACATTGTTTCTGGAATGAAGCATGTTTAGCGGCACTGAAAAAAAGGACCATTTGGCTACGGCTATTTGTAAGATACATCTACTTCGTATGCTTGGCGCACAAAGTGGCTGAGCAGGTATCTCTACACTGAGGAATTTTACAGCTGACTCTATGGTACATCTGCACGATGAAGAAAGCGGCCATTCACACATCCTCATACGCCCGTCTATAGTGATGTAGATGGCAAAGACACCATCAAAGCATTTCATTTATACGGATATACGAGGAACCGCCGTGACCGTTGCACTAAAGCCGTCCTCTCTCTTCGCCCTCCTACGCAGGTACGTCCTCCCAGCTAGGTACCTAGGTAAACATTCCGGAGCTGGACCGAAGAAGAAAATTAAGAATCTGACATATGACAAGACGGAACGGCAGAGCCAAAGTACCGCCAAAGTACATGCATCGTACTCGTACACCCAAAGATCTAGTACACCAAGAGCGGCGTTGCCGTTACCCCTGGCTTTTTACTCTTTTCGGGAGAGGCGTGTACTTTACGATCTCACATGTCTGCCAATAGAGACAGGCAGTGAAGCCACCAAAATATCACGTTTGACATACATGATGCCATGCAGGGCAACTGACAAGCTTCCTCAACGGGCCAAAGTGATTGACCATGCTACATCCCAACTGGCTCTGCGAGTCATCATAAAAAGATGCAGAGCATAATAGTGCGACGATGAAAAAAAAACAGGTTTTTTTATAACTTCTTTAAATAGTTTTCATTCTCACCTTGCAGGCGGTTTGACGTCGTCGTGCATCCCCGAGTATTCCCAGATGAGGAAAATAAAGGGGGCCGCAATTTTGGAGAATGGGGGAAGTGGAGATTCCGAATAACTCAGATCCCGTTTACAAGGAAAAAAAAACAAGTGCGGAGAAACAAGGCAGAGGGGGGAAAAACGATATTCATCCAAAAAGAGCAATGCACTGGCGATCTATCTGACCGCTGATGTCCGTTCACGATGAGCATCATTTGCTGGGCAGGGGGTGGCCTAGATGTTTTATGTTGAGTGAGAGACGCACAAAGATTCATACCCCTGGCGATGCAGATTCTGTGAGAAATAGGCTGATGCGGGATGAATATGGCTCATTTCCATTATGGGCAACAAAAAATCTCGTATTGCATTTAGTATGCTCTTTTTTCTTTTCTTTTTTTTTTTACCGCGATTGCGACAAAATGTGCCGTGAATCGGTGTAGTTGAAATGGGGCGGGAAAAAAAGTAATAGAGCTGTCATAATATCTCGCGAGAGGGTCTGGCCGAGATTTGATGTCATTGCGCGCTTCTGCGCCTCCCGGATTTGGCAACACGGCATGGGGATCGACGTCCTTGGCATGCATATCAGATATCAGATTAAGAAAATGGATGATGTCGTGGTTTTGGAAGATGTGGTGATACTGGGATGTTTTGAAGAGCACAACGGGAGATCTGTCTCTGAATGCAGGGCGTGTTTCTCTCAGTTTTCTTCGTGAAGCGGCAACAGGGGATTTTGGTTTTATTCGTTTGTAGGGATATTACTGCACTTCTACTCACAATGATTCTTTCACGACTGAGTTATCGTGATTCATAGGAAGCGATCCTGTGGGGCCCTCCCGGCAAGGTTGTATGTACAGGCATTGTTAATGCATTAGATGATATCCTGGCATATATCATTCGCTAATAAGCCATATCTGTTATGAAATTGTAGGCTTTGCTCTTCCATCTCATCTACAGTTACGCAGAAGGCCTTGCCAAAAAATTGACTGACATGAGGCTCACACTGACGTCTTAACAGTACCTATATACAGTACATACATACATAGGCGTTTAACTTCAAATCTCGAGTGGGAGAGATTTTTGGCCACGATGTGCTTCGAGATCCGCCATCTCCAGCCTGCTACACGCAAGTCCATGTCAGTATCTGCATTGCGCGCGAACAAGGCACAGTCAGCTTGCTTTCAACAGTAATTCCACACGGTCCCTAGATCTCGCACCCGAAAATCTCGCCGCATGTCTTGTCAGGTTAAAAATGCTGCAAAGTATGTAGCTGTGGTGACGTCGAATGGGCGGCAGACGAAGCCCTCGGGTGAGGTTAAAAATGCTGTGAAGGGGCATCCTCAGGAGGGCACTGCGGAACAGACCTTGGAACAACCTTGGCAACAATCTTGAGCCCTCCCGAGGTCTCATCTCTAACCAATTTATAGGTAATTCTGGGACAAAATGAAACTAAATGAGCGGCTTACCGTAATATGATTCCGTCTACAACCTTTACAGCATTTTAAGCCCTCCTAGAGCTCTTACCCCCAACATTACCTCGATCGGCTAACACCCGAATTAACATCCTCTACTGCGAGGAAGAGGAGCTTGATCCATTCAGAACCAGACTCACTGAAAAGTCTGAAGATCTGGCGACTGGTTTCAAATTCTTTTCTGAATACAAATGGCGTCGGTTTAAAGGCTGACTTTGCCATGGCGAACCTGACTTGGTCATTTACCTTATCTATCTCGATGTCATCCTAACGCAGCTGCTGGAGGAAAATAGGACCAGGAGAAGCATTGCCAATTGATTGCAATTCGGATTACCTCACTATGCCACTCAATATATCAAGACTTGGTGTTTAAAGTGGCGTCCTTGGGATTCGCCAGTTAGTTCCGAAATGTATTGCCCCAGTCAAAGCACTTACACGTACCGAGTTGGAGGATTTACTACTGAGAATAAATTGCATTAAAACTTCCCAGCTTCAAGACAGAGAGCTGTAACTTCTCGTCATTACAATGGGCGATTACTCATATTCTTCAATCCCTGCAATTTCATCTTCCCGGATAAAAGGCACAGAGAGACAGGTAGCGGACTAGGGATATTAGAGACGATTCCAAGATTTAGGGATCTATAAACTGGGCTGCAGTGGATGAATACCTTGAGGTGGTAACGCATTATATTTGGCCCTACAGTCGTTCATGTTCAGCCATTCACCACCAGATGGCCTTTAGTCTCTATCTTTGTAAAAGAGCGGTCTTGGTACTGAGCATTGCGACTACAAACTGGCGGCATCATGTCTACGCCGAGTAGCAGAGGGTATCGAGACCATTAATCACCATGGTTTTACGTATACAATTGGCCATTGTCTCTGTGCTGTACGTTCTCTTGCCAAACGAGTATGAAGTGAAAAGAGCACCCCCCCAGCTAGGCATACCAAACTCTTGTGGGAAGGACACCTTCGACCCAATGCACGCAGGATACAACTCATGATGCGCAAAGCTGAGAGAGGTATTCGGATTAGCAGTTTTACATAAACAGGGGCTTCACGAAACTTTGGCCAGTATTCTGTCACCTGCAGAGTCTGCAGAGGTTACTAAAAAAGGTCACACAAGTATACAGCAAGCTTTAATCTCTATTACCATTTGTGCACTAACTATACAACTGTTATAGACTTCCTGTTAGCTCTTTACGAGGTATTAGAGAATTATGACACACTGCTTGTTATTATAGATAAGTGTAGTAAGAATGTTATTCT